GACTTGAGGGAGGGTACGGAAGGGGCACGATTCCCCCACAGCCCACCGCCTAGTGATGCTTCCACCAAACAGACTCCTGTGTGAAACATTTGCAACTAGGATTGTCAACATTCCCGGATCCCCCTGGAATCTGAGCCAGGGAAAGTGAAGCAAAGGGGGAGGTGTGGGGATCCATTACATTGCCGGGCACTTGAAGGACAGAAGGTGGGAGAGCCTTGAGGCCCTTCCCCATACACCCCGCAATGCACCAACCACCACAGGGTGGGAACCTTCATCTGGAGAAGTCCTGAGGAGGGAAAAAAAAAAGCAGGTTCTGCGGCAGCCAGCTTTGAGTCTGAAGACTCACCACTGCCCCCTACCGTCTTTGTCAGGAAACTGCAGGCTCTGAACAGCAAACAAAAAACCTAGCTAAGGTTTTCACTGTTCTTTGACGTTGGTCTCTGTGCATTAGAGTACAGATGGGTGGAAGGAAAGGTAAAAGTATAGAGAGAGCTGCAAAGGGATAAGAGATTGACAATGGATTTCAACATAGATGGCCTCTTCCTAATTGATTCTACCACCTGTGGAAACCACAGCCACAGCGTGGCTTCACCCCCAGAAGCAAAGCACTTTTCATGGGTCAGGTCTGCAAATTATGACTGTGATATGCAGAGAGCACAATGGGTCATCCATCACCTTTCAACTTGCTCCCTGGGCAGCGTCAACAATGTGTGGCGCCCTCAGATCGCGTTATACCTGTAAAACTCCCGCATTTGATTAAGCCAGGCATCACCAAGCATCCTCTACCTCAGCCAATGCACATGACCAAACTTAGATCATAGCATTTGCGGGCTGGAAATAAAAAAAAAAAACAACTAGCAGTCTCTGAGGAGCATGAAATGACGAGGCTATCTGGAGTCACATGGATTCAGACCGATCTTTATCTGACTGTGTTCTTTGTTTTGGGGGGTTTTTGTTTTGTTTTGTTTTGTTTTGTTTGTTGTTGTTGTTGTTGTTGAATTTTGGTTTGTGGACGCCTTCTGGAAGAACGAACTGGAGTAACTTGTCTCAGTGTGTGGTCTGCATCCTACCTGTTCCATGGCCACCTGGATGCATGGCCATGCCAATTCCCAGGCCCATTGCTGAGACCTACGTGTTTAGTCCCCCTGGGAGACGGCTTTAGGGCTCTGTGGCATGTCCTCTGCTGATTCCAAAACACATGAACATGTGGGAGCCACCACCAAGGCCTTCCAGAAGGCAGTGTGCACCGGTGGCATGGAAGGGCCACCTGCCATGTACAAAACATGTTGTCATTCTCTTAGGAGTCAAAGCCGGGAGCATGATGGCTTCCCTCCCCTGCTTCTAGAGCTCCGCGCCAGGGAGAACAGTGATGCAGGGATAGGTGCTGGCTGCTTTGGTGGCGGGCTTGTCCTACTGCGTAAGGCCCTTCCTGAAGTTTGAGGGGGCCACTCAGGGCTTTAGATGTACAAGGTGAACTAGGGAACCAGGCCATGGAATTATGGGGATAAGCCTGAGTTAGATTGGCAGATCAGCCTTGCTGGCCTCCGATTCAGGAAGCTTTAGGCCCTTTCCAGGCAAAATACGATATAGTCTCAGCCTGATTAAAAATAAAAAAAAAAAAAAAACATAGACTTAAACTCTTTCCCACAGTCAAGTGACCTAGACTCCCCGAAGTAGAATCCTGACATCCTCGGGACTCAGAAGATCCCTCAGTCCATGAAGCTCCACACAGCTTCACTGTTTATCCGCTTTAGAGGCTGCTAGCTTCTTTTGGTTTCCAGAAAAAGGGGAGTGCTGAGAACCCTTTCCATGGCCAAGAACTTCCCAATTCTGGCAGCCAGAAATTCTTCCACATGTTTAACAACCTATAGCTCTTGCTATGGTGTGGATGTGAAATGTCCCCACCGGCTCATGAAACCTTGGTCCCTTGGTAGCATTGTAGGCCCTTTAGGAGGTGAGACCTTGGTAGAAGTAGATGGCTAGGAGGTGAGCCTTAGGGGTGCAGCCTTACTTGCTACAGTGTTGGCTCTTTCTCTTCCTCCATGCCCCCCACACGTGAGTACCCACACCTCTGTGTGTCTGTGTGTTTCCTGGTCTCCCGAGATGAGAATAAGCCACTGGACACTTACAAAGCCATTCTCAGCCATTCCTTCCCAATGACCGACTACATCCTCCAGCCATGAGTCCAGATCAGTCCTCCCTCCCCACGCCACCTGCTTCTCACCAGGTAACTAGTGCACCCCTTATGCTGGAATGCAGTTTCCCCAGTTTCTGGGAATGAGAAAGACGGCAGCCAAGGTATCGTGGCACGCTTACATCCTCAGGGGAAAGCAAGGCCCGGAGGGAGCAGTTCTTACTGAACACTGGACAGAGGCTGTGAGCTCTCACCCAGGCTCTTGCATTTCGCCCAGCCTCCTGGGGCTGATGTTCCTTCCCAATGGACACGCAAACAGGATAGATGGTTGCTTCCAGATAGGTCTCCTCCTATTTCAACCATATCCATGGCAACAAGGGTAGGCAGGCCCTGATTCTTTCTGACAACACCCTGGCACACTCTGTGGTTGGTCTCTGATATCAATGCTTTCCTGAGCATCCCCTCTTCCAGGGGCAGCATCCTCTCCCTCCTACAAACTGGATGTGAGGAGGAAAAGACACTTTCCATTCACCGTACCAAAGCTGCACCCCAAGGTTTCCATTCCGGCCTGCGGAGCTGAGGATAGAGCTGAGAACAGGGAACGCGTGCCTCAATCAACCAGAGGGAGGCCAGACCCAGACTGCCCCAGGAGTCAGCCCCATTTTCTTCGGGCCCCATAGGAGGAAGAAGCAAGCTGTGAGCCCTGCGAAGAGAAGCAGGAACCTCCTGCACCTCTGCCCATACTGCCCCAAGCTCTAGTCGGGGTTTCCTTGTCAACACTGAGCAGGCTTTTTTCAAATCTGCCTGGTCAGAGTGACCATTCGCTCCTCAGGGGTGGTGACTAACTCAGAGCCTGGCATAGAAGATGTGGTAATGAAATGCTACCCACTGGTAACATAAGTGTCAGTCGGTCTGGCATTGGGACTGGGGTGGGGGAGGGGACGGGACACAGCAGCCATGACTTGCTTCTGTCACTTCCAGCCTCTGTGACAGGCGATCATTTCAGATGGAATTGAAATGTCACACCTGTCCCGAGCTGGAGTCAGGCAGAGCTGGACTCTGGCAGCTCAGCAGGACTCAGGGTTCTTAGGAGGCTCTGGTTCCATCTTGCCTTAGGAAGCGCTTCTCTTTTCTGAGCCTACCTCATTCTCCGAACCCTGAACACATCCTCCTCTAACAGGCTGGGAGCTTGAAGCCTCACCTTGTGTCCCTTTCAGAGACCATTTAAGTCCACACCCTATTTCCGGTTTCTTGTTTCTTTCCTGAGCTGCCAAGGTTACGAATCACAAGGTGCTTTACAAACCATCTGGCCCACTGCCAAGATGTGAGCAAATTTTTTAATAGAATAAACGAGACTTTTATAAGTCTCTAATAGAAAATCTCACTGTCTCATGAAACACAAGCAGGAGCTATCTTACAAAACTTGGCTTTCAGTCGTGCATACAAAATAAAGTAAAGACTGCAAAGAAAACTGCATTTCTTCTTTCTGGCTGGTCATAACCACAAAAGGTCCGAAAAACTCTCAACCCATTCACACATGTTGTCAACAAAATAGCCCACGCATGGAGAGGTAAAGCAAGTAACTCCTAGTCACACAGCTTGTAAGTGTCCAGACCTGGGCAAGAACTCCAGCTCTTCCTCTGTCCCGCATGGGTCTTCTACTCCCTACTACCTGAGACTCTCTGGTCCTGAAGCCAGAGAGTCCCCCAGGGTGAAACCGGCAGATAGCACAGAGCCCCTCCTGCCATCACCCTCCAAGCCTGGGAACTGGCCACAATCAGCCTCAGCCAGCAGGACTATTAGACAGAGGATGGCTATGACGGGAATGAGATGGATTTGAACACATGGCCAAGAGTGCTCTTGACTTTCATCTCAAGAATGTTAAAAGCAATTACTAAATTAGGGCCTGAGTACTTCCTGCGGCCACTCTGAGAGGCTCTGCAGCACGGCAGGGGTTGCCTCTCAGGAGTGGGAGCAGCAGAGAAGGCCTCTCTGTGAGAGCAGGGGCCAGGCAGGCCAGCTGCCCTCAATTCAGGAAACAATTGCTCTCCTTCGAGAACAAAATGACCACCTCCCTGTATGAGAGGGGCCTCCTGTCTTCACTATGGCTCCACTCAACCAAGCCCTCAGTGCTGCTGGGGTCAGGAAGGAAACTAATTCATTCCCCCTGACTTTCCAGATGTGCAAACAGAGGTTCAAAGAGGACAAGAGCCAGCTAGCTGCCAAGCCCTGCAAGAATTGCTTCAGATGTCCTGGCTGCCAGCCCCTTCCTCTCAGGCATACACGCAAAGCTCGTGGACATCACGTCAATGTATGGCCTAGCGATGCCACATTGGGAATACGCTTCACCTAGGATTATGCCAAAGCTCAACCTCTCTCTTTCAGCCAGACGAATTCCCAAACTGACCGAGATACAGCAAACAACAGTTATTACTCCTTTGACATTCACAGTGTTCAAATACAAGTGTGATCTCATTGGCACATCCGGCTCTGTGAGATGGAGACTGCTGCCACGTCTGTCTTACAGGTAAGGAAGACCTGGTCAGTCATCCTCACCAAACTCAGACCATAAAACCCAATATGGACAAGTTCAACAGAATCGCCACATGTGGGCTGCTCATGCATGCTTCAGCAAAAATAATAACAGTGGATAGTCCCTAGCAAATGGGATGATGCACATAAAATATTTAGAAAGGCTTCCAACAAACAGAAGGTGCTTACTAAGGGTGAGCTGGGACTGGAAAGCAGATAGACCATTCTGGCAATAGCACTTTGACCCTCCTTGGGAGACAGTGACAAATAAACACTCTATAACGAGCCCAAAGGAAGAAAGGCACACCCCACCTGGGCCGAGATGGGCACCTACTTTCTGAGGGTATACTCCAGTTCAGTCTTCTGCTCATTGGCTTCCTGGAGCTGAGCAAAGATCGTGGTGAGGAGGTCTTCGAAGTTGGCCAGCAGGTGAGGTTCATCCTTCTTCAGCTGCAGCCACAGTTGCCTGACGTCACTTTCACTGTGAGGGAAGGAGACACCGCAACCAGGGAGTGGGTAAGGGAGGGTCTCTGGGAAGTATGGGGACTCCCGACAGGGGAATGAACAGCTGGAAACACACCCACATCGCCTTAGAAATAGCAACAGTGAGAGTTGATGGCACAGTGTTCGCTACACACTGCCTCCCTCCAGCCTCACTATGACCTGGGAGACAGGAGGGGCATGCTCGGACCATGGTGCAATGGGTGCAATGATAGATCCAGGCTCATGCCAGGCAGCCTGCCTCCTCCTGTGCTGCTCTCTCACTGCGACACTTCCTTCCTCTGTGAGGGTCATGATGGACTGACCACACTGAGCATGCACGGCAATGTCCTGGCCAGCATCGCAAGAGTGAGAGGACACTGGAGGTAGTTGGGTAGAGTCAGCACAGAGAGCCGGAGAGGGGCCGTCGCCCCTGGGAAGGATGTCCTCACTGCTGAGAGGCGGACGTGCTGTCTTATGGGTGGTAGAATGTAATTATCCCAGTTAGGGAAGGAGGCGAATACACAGCATCCCACTGGGGTCTGGTGGCACTGGGAGAGATTGGCAGGGGAAAGGATGGGGAAGAGACAGTCTGAAGGAGGCGGAGACACAGACAGACAAGTGGAAAGTCAGACTCTGCGGTGTGCAGGGAAGAGGTGCGGAGTCACAGGTCACGAGAATCACCCGCAATCAGGCGGGTGGCTGACAGTCCCTGCCCTCTGATGCAGGGCACCCTTTGCAAGGGGAGCAGACCTAAGGCCTGCAATGATGGCAGTAGACAACGGGAAGTGAGGACAGTGGAGAGTGTGGGAGAGAGGTAAGCAGGAATGGACAGGGCCCAGCATAGACTTACTCTTCCAAAACCTTCTGGGCTCCAAGTCTATCCATCAGCATCTGGAACTGTGCTTCCTCATCGTGGTCCATGCCTTCCACATCCTCACCTCTAGACTGATATACCTTCTCCATCTGCTTGTCACCTTCCTCCTCACTTTGGGTATTTTGACTGAAGAAGAAGTGACCTGGGAGAGTAGAGTGCAAGGACTTGAAGCTGATATCCTCAGCTCAGGGAGGACTTGGCTTCCTCTTTTCCCGAAATCCATGCAACGATTGCCCTGGAGAGCAGAAGGGGGTCCCTCAATAGCAAAGATCCATAGGGCACCACATCTAGAGATTGTTCCCTCTGATCTTCCATTTGCATTCTGACAGAGATGCCAGAGCCTGGAGACAGCGCCTGGGAAGTAGGCTGGCTCCTCCGCTGATCTCCAAAAGTCAGGGGGAGAGCATGTGTCTCTGAAGGATGTAGTTCAGGGGTAGAACATTTGCCTAGCATAACCAAGGTCCTGGGTTCAATCCTAAGTACTACCACCAAAGAAGAAGAAAAGCATGTCTTTTCCTGTAGCCACATTAAGCAGTAAGGTCGTTCCCCATCACTCCCCAGAGGTCTGCCTTGCCATCCCCACCATCAGCACCACCACACACATATAGGCAGCTCTCTCTATAGTCATGATGGCTGGCATGACAGCAGTGTGTCCCATCCTCTCAAGTCAATGAAAAGCTCCTGGAGATCAGAAAAAGCACCTGATGTGTTTAGGGAAATTGCATGGCCCTTTGCAGGAGGCAGAGAGGTGGAGAAACTGGCCTACTGGTTCATCTCATCTGGAGGCAGGATCTGAATTCTTTATCATGCTCCCAGACCTTAGTTCTCTTTCCTGCTGGTGACCTTGAGAATAACTATGCTATTCAAACCTAGAAACTTCTGAGAGCCCCCACCTTTCAGCTGGACTTAGGCTGAGCTATCCTGTTGTCACACACGTTTGCTGCTTGTTTTGTCTATCAAGGCAGGAAAGATGGGGGAGAAAATCTGGCACAGCTTCCTGCTGATGCCATACCTGCCTGAGATCCCATGTGGGGACCATGGCAATGACCGTCGATGGGCACAGAGGTTGCCATGGTATGAACAGCCAAGGTGGGCATGTACAAAGAACCCCATAATCTACTCCCCTCAACCTCTGGCTCTGCACCCCCCAAAGAAAGAGCTGAAAAGCTCCAGAGGCAGAGTCTAAAAGAGGTGGAGGGAGCGGGAATATATGTTACACAGCTACAGAAAGGCTGCCAGCCCTGGGTGCCCATCAGCCAGCAGAACTTACTGAATCCAGTGGTGAACTCCTCTGGGGTTAGAAAGCCATTGCCGTCAGCATCCAGGGCATCAAACACGTGCTCCAGCTCTTCCAGACTTAGGGGTAGCTCCTGATGTAGCCTCTGAAAGCAATCGAGACCACAGTAGTCAGCATGCTGATTGCCATGGCGGCCCAGAGCATGGTTCAAGCCTGCAAAAGTCTCAAACATTATCCTCCCTTCCATATTAATGAAGAGAGCTTCTGTTGGGTGCCAACCAAGGCACCAGACAATTTTCCATATGATTTATTATAAAGAAAACTATGTATCTATTAGCATTTAATTCTCTTGATACCCCTTTTCATTATTCCCATTTTAAAGATGAAGTTTAAAGGTGAATTGCTAACCCTAGGGTCATACAGTCGAGAAATCAAATCCAGGTCTGCCTTCGAAGCCGGCACTCTGAGCAGTGCCGAGGACCAATGCTGTACAGGACTGGATAGGTAGCTCTAGGTAGATTCCTAGAGGATGTGGTGTTCTGAAGGAAAGTGAAACCACAGTTGGGAAGCCAGAGACACAACACCCGGCACCTGGAAACCACTCAATCCAAGCGGGGGAGGGGGGTAGACCTGGCGGCACAGGCCTGTAATCCTAGCTACTCCAGAGGTTAGGAGGTTGAGACAGGAGGATGCCAAGTTCAAGGACAGCCTGGATAACTTGGCAAGACTGTGTTTCAAAATCAAAGGTAAGAAACTGGCTGAGGATGTAGGCCTGGACAAGGCCCTCGATTTGACCCTCAGCACATAAACAAACAAACAAATAAATAAATGGAAAGGACAGGGAGAGGCCCATGGAGCCACTGTGTGAATCCTGGTCTTTTCCTCTGGGTACTGTAAGCCCCGGTCTCTGGCCTCCATCTTTGAAGGCCCCATCTCTGTGCCCACCAAGCCTGCCAAAATCTTGACCACTCCCTCATTAACCACTCCTTCAGTGTGTTTAAACTGCTTCCCAGGAAAGTTTTCTTGTGGCTGCCCCCCACCCCTGTGGTTGAGTTAGTAGCTTCCGGGTTTCCCCTCTGGGCCACCTGAGAGCGCAGGAATCTCATTAAACCTGGATATTTTTTAACTTGGCTTGTTGTGATTTGGCTTGGTCGGGATTTTTGCGTCAGCAGAGAGCTTGCATTAGGAAAATTCCTAACAGGTACCCCCTTTCCAGAGTCATGCTACCTCCCACATTGTGTGGGTCTTCCTTGGTAGGGGGCCTTCTGCCCCAGGACCCCAGCGCTACTCTTCTAAGTAGTTGTGGACTTATTTGGTTCTTTGCCTCTGAAAATGCTGGATAAGCCCCCTCCAAACTTCAAGTGACCCCACACACACACACACACACACACACACACACACGGTGTCCCACTCTGATTTGAATGTGAAATGTCCCCCACAAGTTTGTGGGATTGAATGCTTAGTCCCTCAGCCAATGGTGTTCCAGGAGGCTGTGGATCCGTCTGGTGGAGGTAGGTCAATGGGGAGGGCCTTGGAGATTCAGAGCCTGTACCCACTGACAACCCGGGGAATGAGGCAGCTGAGCTGATGACACTTCCCTCTGGCGTCTGTCGGTCTGGTGTGAAATGGCCCCAGGCCAAAGCAAGCATCCTCCTCTACCTAACGACCCATCTCCAAGTGAGGAGTCTCAAGGGACTTCGTTACCTCTCATCTGGCCCTCCTTCTCCTCAGGAATCCAAGGGCCAGCTGCACAAACGCCTCCTGTGCCAGTGACTGACAGCCTTAGCCGGCATGCACAGGGCTTTGGAGGAGGGAAAGCGGACGCACACGTGGACAGTTAGAGTCGGCAGGTGTGACAGCCCATGACCCACCTGGAGGGGGTGCTTGGCTCACAGTCTTTTAGCTGCTGAGCCATAAAGCATCATTTGGCGGGTCTGTGCATTAACGGTGGCATTTGGTACACATTACCAAGTGGGAAGAGAGGCTAACGGGAAAGCCATTTCGAAGAACTGAATTAAATCTGAATGGGGTTTTTCAAGAAAGGAAGGAGATGGAAAGTGTCTGCAAGGGCTCTAGAAACTCAACAGCACAGCAGATATCAGCAGTTCATAAACCAGCGGTGGAAGACCCACAGGGAAGAATTCAGGGTTGCAGAGTGTTGGATTAGCAAGTAGGAGGCTTGTTGGCTCCTTCGGAAATGAAAGACAGTCCCTGGAGGTAGGCTGAAACTTCCCCAACTCCCATCACAGCTGGATCCCAAAACTTTCTTTGGGATTCAATTTCCTCCCTACCTAGAGAGCTTCTGGTTCCTGGGCCTGGCAGAAAATTGATGGCTTCCATTATACTTAGCTGGAAAGAATCAGGAAGGACATCCAAGATTAGCAGACCCTCAAGTGGCTTTTCACTCTTTGAACCTGTCTGTGCGCACGTGAACGCACAGGTGCCATATTAAATTTGCAGATAGTGTGACCCAGGGAGGGGTCTTCAGACTCAGGCCCAGCCACCTTCCTCAAGCACGTGGCTACACAGTTTTACCCTTGTTCAAGTGGTACTCGCATTGGAGAGGAAGCTGGAGGAGAGCCATCTTTAAGGCCAGAAGTGCACACGCTGCACCTTCTTCCTTTGGGTAGCCCCAGCAGTCTGAGCAGAGCTGTTTCCTGCCTGTGGCATGCAGAGCTCGGCTATTCTGAGCACCATCGGGAGAGCTGAGGCTGTATCAGCCTCTGCCCCATGACAAACTGCGATGTGCTTGGATTTAATAGAGTAGGTTGGTTGGTACCATATGGGCCTGCAGTGGGCCATTTCATTCTCAGGAGCTGTTGAAGGGACAAGAGGACAGGGAACAAGGTAGGAGCATCCTATGCACAACACTCCTAACGCTAAACCTGCAATTGCTCAGTTTTGTATGGTCAATGAAGTAAGAATGGCGTTTACATTTTTAAGTGGCTGGAGGGGGAAAAAGGAAGTCCTGGTGACACAAAAGGAATTATATAAAAGTTAAAGGTCAAAAATGACCTTTTTATTTTCAGTACTGGGCCTTGAACCCATGACCTTTGAGGTACTAGGTAAGTGCTCTAATATTTAACTACATCCCCATATGTTTTTAATTTTATTTTTGAGAAAAGATCTCACAGAGTCACCCACTTGCTCTGAACCCACAGTCCTGCCTCCACCTCCTAAGCAGCTGGGTGTACAGGCGTGTGCCACCACACCCCATCTATGTAGGTTTATGGTACTGGAGATTAAACTTGGGGCTTCATCAGCGGCAGCTAGACAAGCACTCTACCAGCTGAGCCACATCCTCGGACTCCTGTGGTATAGTAAATCCATCACGTGACTACCACCAGGTCCAATAGCCTCGGGGTGGAGTCGGGGAAGGAAAACAGCCCAACAGCAGGTAAGGGCTTTTGACTGAACAGAGACCAGGTTTCCCCGCACAGTACACACTGGCAGCGGGTCCAGAGCTAAGACCTTTTCTGGAAAGAATTCTGGCAGGGATCTCATGTGAAGCTCGAGGTGCAGACCCCACTCACCTGCATGTCCGTCCTGGCGATGAAGCCCTTACCCTCGGCGTCACATGTCTGGAAGAATTCCTGTGCCTTCCTCCGCATGACACTCTGGACTGGCATCTGCTCCTCCACCTCCAACCTCTCTGCGCGGTCCATCTGCTCCAGGCAGGCTCCACGTTCCTGCCACCCATGGCCTGACATCTGGGAGCTGGAGTCTGCCCTCCCCTTGGGGGTGGCCATCAGACCTGTGGATTTCCTTGTGGATTTTCAGAACCTGAGCAGCAGAGATGGGGAAAAGAAGGGTGTGACTAGGGTGGGACAAGACAAAAGAAGAGCAGGGAGGGAGAGAAACTGTGTCCGGAGCTGGTCACTGGCGTGTGCTGGCATCTCTTAGCAACCAGCTGTTAATTACCGGGCTCAGGACCAGTGTGGTTTGCAGGGATCGCTGATAGATCAGCAAGTCTGTCAAATGAGAGAAGGGAAGGAATGAATGGAGACTGAGAGGAGATGGGCTAGAGGGTGCCCTTTATGCTCCAAATTTAAATAGCCACACAACACGGAAGGAGATGAATGGACACACAAACTGTAGTGTGTATGTGAACACAACAGTAGCTACCCTGCACAAACAGGGAGTGGATACATTTCAAACTGATCACACAAACACAAGAAGCCAAGGACTGATATGTGCCACGTGGTCCTGTTAACATAAGTTCGTTTCCAGTTGTCCAAGTTTACTATTGCATTTGGTGACATTTATGGGAAATGGAAACAACCATGACAGAAAGGCGATACAGAGTGAGGAGGGATGAGAAGGAGGCGATCTGGGATACGGATGGATATGATCCCTGTCATCATTTCCCGAGTGTGGCATGTGAAGCCACAGTAGACTCACAGATCTACTAACTTATTCGTTGATCCATACCGGCCTCTCAGCATCCCTGACGGATTGCTTCAGATTCCTCACTCTGCTCAAACATCTGCAAGTGCTCCAGCTCCTTACACAAAATAGATTGTATTTACACATAACTTATGCATAGCCTGCCGTATAGTTTATTTGTTTATTTAGAAACAGGCCCTCACGGTGTAACCCAAGCTGACCCCCTATTTGTGATCCTCATGCCTCCATCTTCCATGCACTGGGGTCACAGATATGCATCACTGCACCTGTCTCCTACCACATGCCATCCAGAGAAAGTGTATAATGTCTGCTACAGTGTAAGCGCTGTGCACACAGTTCTCACGCTATATAGTCTAGAGAAAACAGCTTACACCTGCTCAGTGCACACCCATGGTTAGCTGGATGTAGAGCCTCCACAAAGGGAAGACTGGCTACATTCATGCATACACACACCATACACATGTATGTATGTATGTACATATGTGTGTATATGCACACAAATCTATGTCAAAATTTATCAGGCTACAGACTTCAAAGTCATGCAGCTTACTGTATGTCAATAACCCAATGAGTGTATTGAGAAGGAGGAGGAAGATAATCACTTGTTGTTGTGTTGGAGCCACTACCACTTTTCTGTCTACCCAGGCCTAAACACTATAGCCTAGTCTAATAGCATATGTATATGAATATATAATTTTATGTTTAAGGCTGTTTTGTCTCCATGTGTGTTCTGTACATCACATGTGTGCAGTGCTCATAAAGGCCAGAAGAGGGCATTAGATTCCCCTAGTCCTGAAGTTACAGATGGTTGTGAGCTGGCATGTGGGTGCTGGGAATGGAACCTGGGTCCTCGGGTAGAGTAGCTGGTTCTCTGGACCACTAGCCACTGGTATATTGTATTTAACCCAGAACCCTGATTTTTTCCTTGGATATTCAATTCTGTCAAGGAGAAAAATAGCTAAAATTAAGCAATTTCCCCGTGGAAACTTCCAGACTGTGCAGGGAGCTAAGCAAACCCTACACCAGTGGTTCTCAACCTATCTAATTCTGTGTCATTATAAGTTCCTCATGTTGGGGTGACTCCTAGTCATGAAATTATTTTGTTGCTACTTCCTAACTGCAAATTCTGCTACTGTTGTGAATTGTAATGAATCTCTGACATGCAAGGTATTTAATATTCAAACCCAAGGTTGAGATTGCTACCTAAGCACATAGAAGAAGAGCAGAGCTCCTGAGGACCCTGGATTGACTTGAAATCTTTGCACAGCTTGTGTGGGTTTTCCAAGGGCAGTGGGGGACAAAATAGTGCAAGCAAAACTGCTTCCATCTCCAAGTAAAGTGGAATCCCTGTCCTGGGCTCAGCTATCTCCCACCTGAGAATGCCCAAGGAAGCCTTAGCCTTGGGGATAGACAGGATTCCTGCCTTCAAGATTTGCTGTTAGAGAGGCTGGTGAGATGGCTCAGTGGGTAGATGCACTTGCCATGCAAGTCTGGTGAGCCCAGTTCAATCCCCAGGACCCAGGTAAAGGTAGAAGCGGAGAAATGACTCCATAAACCTGCCCTCTGACCTTTACACTCGTATGCTAACACTTGTACACACACGTGCATACACAATAGTAATGTATTTTCATTTTTTACTTCTATTTTTCACTAGCTCAAAAGACATTACAGTCACAAAAAAGGCAGGCTAAGTTCCACCCCCTCCCTCCCTCCCTCCCTCCCTCCCTCCCTCTCTCCCTCCCTCCCTCCTTTCCTCTCTCCCTCCCTCCCTCTTTTCTCCTGACCAAACCCAGGACCATGTCATGCTAAGCACACCCTATCACTGAGATCCATCTCCCAATTGAACACACTTTGTTCCTGCCTGTGGCTGAGTTTCTAAACCACTCTTTTCCTCTGGGACAATTCCATAAAACACTTTACATGCAGATGCAAATTATCCATTCTTCAAATATTCCTAGGAAGACTTCCCAGTTAGCCAGAGTAATTCCAGCAGCTTGAGTGTGCAGTCAGAAAGTTTGTAGATCAAACCTAGATCCCTCCTGAGGGTTTAAAGGGAATTTCCCCCTTAATCTGGACTTCAGCTGCTACTTCTCTCCCCACTTCACCTGCTGCCGACTTGAAGGCGGCCACTAAGTCACACAGATTCCCCTTGAATCCCTTCTGCAGCAAGCAGTTAGGAGATCAAAGTCCCAAAGTGTCCCTGGGAGCCATTCAAATCTATCCAGGTTTCAGTGGTAAGAGAACCCCTGTGTAGTGGGACCCTAAGTTCACAATGACTCGCTCAGAGTGAGCGGGGCTGAAAGTAGACAGTTCTCGCCAAACAACAAAGGGCGAAAGGACCTTCACACTTGAGCTTCTGGGAGGTGGCACAGCAGAATGGGAAAAGCCAAGTTGCCCAGCTTCAAATCCTGCCTCCGTCACTGCCTAGCTGTGTAACACTAAAAGAGTTAGGTGACATCTTCAGGATTCCTTTTCCCATCTGTAAAATGCAGGAGACAGGGCAGGCAGAGCTGGGAATAAACATTTTCATCAAGAGAGAAGAGATTTGCTACATGCAGGGTAGCATTTGTTTGGGGGATTTGACAAGCTGATCTCTTTCCCATAATAAAACAGCATCTTCCTCAGCTGTCCTTGGGCAGACTACCTTTTATCATTGCCACTATTGTTATTGGGGTATTATCATTACCACTATTACAACTATTGTTGTTGTTGAAATCCAGCTAGCTTCCTTCACCTCGTTATATTTCAGCAAGCCAAATATATATATA